GACAGATGACACGGGTGACACAGATGACAGGTGACAGGTGACAGGTGACACAGGTGACACAGGTGACACTGACCCACGCTGCGTCCGGCACACGCCTCCAGCAGCCGCTGCGCGCGCTCCTTGGCGTCCGCGGGGAAGGAGGGGACAGAGGCGACATCCGGACACAGACACAGCGCTGCCACCTGTGGGGACAATCAGAGTGTCACCCGGGGGACAATGAGTGTCACCTGAGAGAGGGGACATCACCCGGGGGATGGGGACAGCGAGGGGACAGAGAGGAGATCCGGACACAGACACAGCGCTGTCACCTGAGAGAGGGGACATCGAGTGTCACCCGGGGGATGGGGACAGCGAGAGTGTCACCTGAGAGAGGGGACATTAAGAGTGTCACCCGAGGGATGGGGACATCGAGTGTCACCCGGGGGATGGGGACAGCGAGGGGACAGCGAGGAGATCCGGACAGACACAGAGCTGTCACCTGAGGGGACATCACGGATTGTCACCAGGGGTATGGGGACAGCAAGAGTGTCACCCGGGGGATGGGGACAGAGAGGGGACAGCGAGGAGCTCCGGACACAGACACAGCGCTGTCACCTGAGGGGACAATGAGTGTCACCCGGGGGATGGGGACATCGCAGAGTGTCACCCGAGGGTATGGGGACACCGAGAGTGTCACCCGGGGTATGGGGACAGCGAGAGTGTCACCTGAGAGAGGGGACATCACCCGGGGAATGGGGACAGTGAGGAGCTCCTGACACAGACACAGAGCTGTCACGTGAGGGAGGGGACAATGTGGGGACTGGTGAGGACACCGCGGGGACAGCGAGGGGACAGCGAGGAGCTCCGGGCACAGACACAGCACTGTCACCTGAGGGGACATCACGGATTGTCACCAGGGGTATGGGGACATCGAGAGTGTCACCCGGGGTATGGGACATCGCAGAGTGTCACCCGAGGGTATGGGGACAGCGAGAGTGTCACCCGGGGAATGGGGACAGCGAGGGGACAGCGAGGAGCTCCGGACACAGACACAGCGCTGTCACCCGATGGGACATCACGGATTGTCACCAGGGGTATGGGGACATCAAGTGTCACCCGAGGGGATGGGGACACTGAGGGGACAGTGAGGAGCTCCGGACACAGACATAGAACTGTCACCTGAGGGGACACTGAGTGTCACCCGGGGTATGGGGACATCGCAGAGTGTCACCCGGGGTATGGGGACAGCGAGGGGACAGCGAGGAGCTCCGGACACAGACACAGCGCTGTCACCTGAGAGAGGGGACATCGAGTGTCACCCGGGGTATGGGGACACCGAGAGTGTCACATGAGAGAGGGGACACTAAGAGTGTCACCCGGGGGATGGGGACATCGAGGGGACAGCGAGGAGCTCCGGACACAGGCACAGCGCTGTCACCTGAGGGAGGGGACACCGCGGGGAGGGGGTGACACTGCGTGGGGACACCGCCGGCAGGGTGGGGACACCGCGGGGTGTGCACGGTACGGGACACGGGCACAGCGCTGTCACCTGCGGGGGTGGCACTGGGTGTCACCCGAGGGAATGGGGACACCGCGGGGACAGGTGGGGACACCACGGCGTGTACGGGGCAGGGGGCACAGAGCTGTCACCTACGGGGACACAGCCGGATGTCACCGGAGGGGATGGGGACACCGCGGGGTCACCGAGCAGCTCCGGACACAGGCACAGCGCTGTCACCTGCGGGAGGGGACACCGAGTGTCACCCGAGGGGTGGGGACACCGCGGGGTGGCATCGAGGGGATGGGGACAACCCCAGGGTGTGCGGGGCACCGGGCACAGCGCTGTCACCTGCGGGGGTGGCACTGGGTGTCACCCGAGGGGTGGGGACATCGCCGGGGGAAACAGCGCTGTCACCTGAGAATGGGGACACCGAGTGTCACCCGATGCGTGGGGACACCGCGGGGACGGTGGGGACACCTCGGGGTGTGCGGGGCACCGGGCACAGAGCTGTCACCTGCGGGAGGGGACATCGAGAGTGTCACCCGAGGGGTGGGGACACTTCGGGGTGTGCGGGACACGGGCACAGCGCTGTCACCTACGGGGACACCGAGTGTCACCCGAGGGGTGGGGACACCGCAGGGTGTGCGCAGTATCGGACACAGGCACAGCGCTGTCACCTGCGGATGGGGACACCGCGGGGAGGGGGTGACAATGCGTGGGGACACCGCGGGGTTTGAGGGACACAGGCACAGCGCTGTCACCTGAGGGGACACAGCCGGATGTCACCCGAGTGTGGGGACACCGCAGGTTGTGCGGGGTACCGGACACAGGCACAGCGCTGTCACCTGCGGGGACACCGAGTGTCACCCGAGGGGTGGGGACACCAGCGGGGGATACAGCGCTGTCACCTGCGGCGGTGGCACGGGAGTGGCACTGGGTGGTGGCATCGAGGGGAGGGGATGGGGACACCGCGGGGTGTGCAGGACACAGGCACAGCGCTGTCACCTGCGGGAGTGGCACTGGGTGGGGACACCGCGGGGTGTCACCTGAGGGGTGGGGACACC